GGGGGGGGGGTTCCCCAGCACTGTGCGCACCTCTGGGTGAGGCATGGGGGGGACATGCCCCCCAGATTTGTGTGCAGGGCAGAGGTGGGCTGCCCACTGTGGGCTGGGGCTCTGTGCCCTGCTGCCTTTGCCCTGGGAGCCACAAGATGTATGTTACGCCTCCCACCACTGGGTGGGGTGGGGACATGCAGTGCAGCCAGTGTGCTGTTCCCAGGGCAAAGACAGCAGAGCCCCCAACCTGCAGCAGACAGCCTCCCTCTGCCTCATGCACAAATCCCAGGGGCATGTTGCCCCCCTTGCCTCTTCCAAGTCACATCCCCAAGCCTCCCACGACTCCATCCCATGACCTGTCCTGGCCCCAGGGCTCCATTCATCCCAGTGCCTGCCCCTGCCCCACTTCCTCCCTCACCATGGGGGCCTTGATCTGTCCCCCTCCATCCCTTCCCTCTTTCCCTGCTGCTCCCTGTCCACAGACCTACCAGCATGGCACTGCTGTAGATGCAGCGTGCAAGTTGTGGCTGCTCATGTGATTCTGTGTCTGTGTGTTGGACAAAAGACCAACACATGGGTCCAACAACCAAGATTTTTATTGAATAACACGCATAGATCAAGTGGGGAAAAGCAATGCTTTATCAAAAACCATTCATAGTCACACACACATACACACAAGCCAATCCATTGGTGCTCAGGTTCAGTCATGATGGCCAGTTGCAGTGCCTTTGGACACGATGATCTTATGCGAGGGCCACCGGTAGTTTTCTCCTGAGTTGATATGGATGGCATATGACGTTGACAGCGCCCAATCTTCACTGCCTTTTTATCTAGACAGACTGCTGCGGTGCCTCTGACAACCGGCGCAGCCAATCACCTTGTTGCTGTTGAGCTGAGTTGACCGAATCAAAACTCAGTCTTTTAGCTTCTATTTTGAATCTGTTTAGCTTCTAGTGAATATTTACACTGCCTTTGTGGGGGGAGGGGGAGTTTGATTCTTCATTCAAGATACATGCTTGTATCTTTAACTCTTTTTGCCGGTGCCTTAAGTCCTGATTAACCCTATCAATTACAGCAGGGGCCTTAATAGCTGACATTGAGTTTTCACAAACACCTTCTTTTTTTTTCTGCTTTAACAAGCTCTTAACACCATCCTTTCTAGAATTTCCATACTATTCCTAGTAACAAAAACATTTCTTACCTTTCCTTTTTCACTCCCTGTTACCAATGAGAGTGCCCACACTTACACTTTCAACAGTCCCTCTTTGCCTTGCAACACACGCAAAACAAACACACCACACTGCTCACACCCTGTTTTGCATCAACACCTTAACAATCTTTGTAAAGCTGCTCACTCATTAGGCTTCTTAGGCTCTACTTCTGTATGTTTGAACAGTTTTTAGCACAGGGGTTAATTTTCTCTGCTACTGACTTCTTACTGGACCAGCAAGAAAAGTTATTGTACTTAACCTAAACAATTCACAGCATGACCTCAGGCACTGAGATCAGGTTACAACTTTTTCTTAGGACAGTTTTTCCTTAAGTTTTATTCTTACTCTTTCTTCCTGCCCTTTCTTGCATCCAAACGGTTAATCCCTTCACTGCCTCTCTTTCTAAACACTTTCCACATTTCTCTCTGTATAACAAATGCCGTATAGCTTCCACTTTCCTCTTTCTTTTATGAAACAGCACTTCTCTTCCACAGCCTTTTTAATAGCCTGCCATAAAGCCACACTGCAACCCCATGCTGTTTTTGCACAGACAGCATTCACCTAAACAGTACTTTTCAAACTGGCTGTTAAGATCAGAAAGAGTGAAATGGAAGGGGGGGGCACACATTTTTCCTCCAAGGGGATGGTCCTCCCCTCAAAAGTTGTCTGCAAAATTTTTACATCTATCTGATGGTGAGGATTTTCCAACTGCTGAATCTGTTTCTTCTGAGTTACTTTTGGCATGGTGGCAGTAATCAAAACATTGAATGTCTTACAAGCCTGTTTTAAGCTATCATGTCCCTGAAAGGCACTCAGACTCCAGGGATAGGTACCCTTTTCTTGGATTCATAATTCTTCCCTAACAATCAACTTGAACAGCTCCTTTGCTTCTTGGTTAGACCCAGACTTTTCCTTAAACATTTTTTAAATAATGGGGAGGCTCCTTCCTCCAAACAGTGGTCTCGCCTGTAAGGGTGACTCGTAAACTTTGTCACAGGGACCCCTTTCCCTAGACCCAACAGCTGTCTTCCCTAGGATGGCTCAAATGCTTAACTTTCCTGTCACAAGGTATGCCTCCCTCACAAACAAGGGGATGTCCTCCCAGTTGGTCCAGTGTCACCCCAAAAGATTAAATGGTTTGCCCACATTCTCCACCAGATAATGTTGGATGAAAGACCAACTCACAGGTTCAGCAACCAAGATCTTTATTGAGTGACACACATAGATCAACTGAGAAAAAGCAATGTTTTATCTAAAACCATTCATACTCACACATACATACACACAGGCCAATCCATTGGTGCTCAGGTTCAGTCACAATGGCCTTTTGCAGTGCTTCTGGATACAATGATCTTATGGGAGGGATGCCGGTAGTTTTCTCCTGAGTTGATGTGAATGGCATACGATGTTGTCAGGGCCCGGTCTTCACTGCCTTTTTATCTAAACAGACTGCTGCGGTGCCTCTGACAACCCGCTTAGCCAATCACCTTGTTGCTGTTGAGATGCGTTGCTGAGTTGACTTCATCAAAATTCAGAGTCTTTTGGTTACATACGTCATGGCTTAGGTATGCAGATTGATGGATGGTGAGGAATCACTTGTTTTATAACCTCTGGAGACAGGGAGTCTGCTCTGTTTCTTATCTTCTTGTAGATGGTTTATTTGTTCTTAACTTCCTGTTCTCAAGGCTGCTTTTCTCAGCAGACTGGGTATGTTTGAAACCATATTCATTCATTCACTCATGCATTCATCTAAAATTAATTTTTGATAATATTCTCAACATGTGCACACTCTTTCCCCCTCCAGCTGCATCTACCCAAAGCCCATGCCCAGGCTGCCCTGGAGTCCTCTGTGCTGCCACCGCTGCCCTGCTGGGAGGCCCGAAGGTGGCAAAGCAGAGCCTGGGCAGAGCCTCCAAAACCATGTGTATGATTAACGCATTAAAAAAATTAACTCAAGAACTGATTAACGTGTTAATTGCATATGTTAACTGCAATTAATTGACAGGCCTAGTTTTATTACTAGACACTTCTAAATAGCAGCCAACAACAATATCCATTGTTTATATCTCCTGAAAGGAAAAGGGGATGAACCCTTCTGCAAGAATGGGATATATCCTGCAGCATCTTGGGTAAAATTACATTCTTGCTCTGTGAACTCCCCTGGCAGTTTCATCTGGATCCAATAACTTTTTCCCTTCCTCTTCTTACCGGTTGAGTCACATATCTTTGCTCTGTTCTATATGTGCTGTGGAGTATCTACTACCCCAGATGGCACTTTTGGTGGGAGGGAAGAGGGGGATATAATTCTGGAAGATCCTACTGTGCAACTTTTATGCATGCTAGTGAATTCTCTCTCTTATGAGTTGCCCCCCCATGAGCCATCTAAGTGAGTATTACCACTGTTGCTGGTAGGTGTTGTAGGGCTTCAGTCCCTTCTTGGTAGGTGCCTTTTCCCCTAGCAACATCAGGGTGAGATCAGCCATTGGTGCCACCCAGATGGTTTGGGTGCTGCTCCTACTCACCTGCCACATCTTTGATGTTTGTTATTGGGGAGGCAGTTCCCTGTAGGTGGCCCCAAAGCAAAGGGGTCTCAACCCTGGTCCTTCTTCGTGGGGCTCCAACCTCCCCTTTACCCCACACTTACCACATCCACAGCCTCGGTAAACGCTGCTCACCGTAGGTCTTCCCCTGGATGATCTTGCCTCACCCACACTGCCTGCGTCAAAATGGGTTGGGTCTTCTCAGCCGGCAATCTTTCCCATGTCGGTCCCTCATCTTTGGGCCAGGTCTCAGGCAACTAAACCTGCCCCAGCTGGAGCTAACCGTAACTAAGGAGAACTTAACTGAAAGTTCTCCTTAGATCTGCCGATGGGCCCCTGGGATTCTGTCTCCCAGGACCCACTTGGTTACTTGGGGGGGGCAGGGGGGGACTCGTCTGTCCCTTCCCTCCTAGTAGGCATGGGGACAGGCAGCCGCCCCATGTCCAGCCTCTGTCAGTCTTCCCAGTGTGACCTCCCTGGGGCCTGGCTGACCTGTAGTTTATTTTTCATGATTCTACCAGCTGGTGGTACTTGTTGCTCCCATTCAGGGCTTCATAGCCTCCTGTGCCTGCCTTCCTGCCGTGCTGCCCGAGAGTGCCAACAGTCCCTTGCTGCCACTCCCCGCCACAGTACCTGGGCTCCCTGATGTGGCTGCAGCTCTGCTCCTGGGTGTTCCTCCATTCCCAAGGCTTGTGCTCCTCATTCTGTCTGCCGGAGTCCTCCGGCAGATGCTCAGCTCCTTTTCCCTGCACTTGGGGCTGGTGCTCCCCAGCTCTGCAACTGGTGTCTCCTGGCCTGCGTCCTGCTCTCCTTTGCCCGGCCGGTCAACTGTACTTCCAGCTGCTTTTTGAGCAGCCCATGCCTCTCCAGAGCCACGCCCCCAGAGCTTGCAGATTCACAGGCTCAGGCAGCTCCAGAACTGCCGAGCCTGCGTCAGTGTCTCTTCCCAGCTGCTGTTCAGCTTGACTCCTGTGATATCAGGGTCTGTTGGACAGGGGTTTGGGACATGCCAGGGGGGCTTTCGCTTCCCCTCTCACATATCCCCCACCTCAAGATGCTGATAGGTGTTCTTCCATCATTACCTGGTGCCGGATGTGTGTGTGCCAGTGCTTTCTCTTGATGATCTTGAGAGTCCTCTGATGTGTCCCTTGAATGGCAGCAGTACAGAAAATCAGCTACCACATTATTCGTCTGGGGTTTGTATTTTATGGAGAACTGGAATGGCTGCAGTGCCAAGGCCCAACGTGTTATCTTAGCATTATATGTTCTGGCCAACTTTAGCCATTTCAAGGGAGGGCGGTCTGTTATGACCGTGAATTCTCTACCAAGCAAATAATATCAAAAATATTCTACCCCCCATTTCAGAGCCAAACACTCCCTCTCAATGGTGGTGTACCTCCTTTCCTGGTCGTTGAGCTTCCTGCTGGCGTAGGCTACTGGTCTTTCTGCCCCCTCCACCCAGTGGACTGCACCCAGTGCTTGGCCTGATGAGTCAACGTGCAGGAAAAACAGCATTGAAAAATCTGGCATGTGTAACACCACCTCCCTGCAGAGAGCCCATTTGACTCCTTCGAAGGCCCTTCTTTGTTCCTGTTCTAGCTTTATGGCTCCATTCCCTTTCCCTTTGATTGTGTTAGTGAGGGGGGCTGTGAGGCTTGCAAAGTGGGGAATGAACCGCCTATAGTAGCTGGCTAGACTTAGGAATGCCTGCATTTGCTTTTTAGTTTGTGTGATCTCATACCTATGTGTAGTGACCACCTTATTGGCCAAGGGTTTGATTTGGCCTTGCCTCACCAAAAATCTGAGCTATTTAGTCTCGGCTTGTTCCAGTATACATTTCTTGGGGTGGGCCGTCAAGCCTGCCTGCCTCAACTCCTGCAGTACCACCCAAACTGTCCATATGTGCTGGTCCCATGTTTCAGTGTACACTACAATGTCATCAATATAGGCAGCCATGTACTGGTGATGGGGAGCCAGTACCCAATCCATCAATCTTTGAAAGCTTGCTGCAGCCCCACTGAGGCCAAAGAGCATTCTGCAGAGCTCATACAGTCCCCATGGGGTCCCAAATGCCATCTTAGCTCTATCTTCCAGATGCAAAGGTATTTGCCAATACCCCTTGGCCAGGTCAAAAATGGATATGAACCGTATTCTTTCCAGCAGTTCTCCCACCTGGGGCACAAGGGAAGGCATCAAATTGTGTGATGACGTTGAGATTGTGGAATTCGATGCATAACCACAATATCCTGTCGGCCTTTGGGGCCATCACTATCGGGCTATGCGAGGGACTCCCTAATGATTCCCTGCTCCAACATCTTTCTTATTTCCTCTCTCACCAAGGGATACTGATGGTAGGGTATTTGCCTCCACCTTTTCCTTACTATAGCCCCTTCAGGTGTCATGAACTTATGGACTGTGCCCTGGGCCTTCCTGAGTATCTCACTGAACACATCAGCAAAGTCCCGTACTATTCTTGCCAGCTGTCCCCTCTGTTCAGCCATCAGGTCTCAGCCTACGGAGACTCCCTCCCCTGCCAGCTCATCTAGTGTCCTTCCCAGCTCCTCACGTTCTGGGATCAGCATAGCCAAGAACCCTTCTGGCTCACGCCACTGCTTCAGCAGGTTAACATGATAGATTTGTCTTTCCCATCTCTGTCCAGGTTGCATGCCCTCGTAGTCAACAGGGCCAACCCTGAGGACAATTTGGAAAGGCCCTTGCCAGCAGGTCAGGAACTTGCCCATGGAGTTGGGTAGCAGCACTAGTACCCTTTGTCCTATTTGGAATTCATGTTCTACCATGTTCTTATCATACTGCTGCTTTTGTCATTCTTGGGCCCCCCTCAGGTTATCCCTGGCCACCTGGTTCACCTTCTGTGCATACT